CCTGACTCTGGACACGTCCAATCGCTTACAACGTCTTCTAGAGACTTCTGTCTGATACAGGGGTGCAGGTCAACATGATGTTGGTCATTTCTTCTTGAAGGGACAGACATGGTTTTCCGATTCCAAAAAGAATCCAAGAGGAATGGCAAGCTCGAGAGTTTGCAGATGATGTGGTCGTACCGTGCATCAGCCGATTGCATTGGACTTCTAGCATTGTGGGCAGGCGGGCATTTTCATTGCACATGCACTGCAAGAGCTCCAGCGGTTAAGCATTGGAACTGTGTCGCTTCAATGCTTGTGGTCAAGCAAAAAACGGACGGACATTTTGGACCCTTTGCCACAGATAGCCTGCTTCCTGCCTTTTGCAAACGCAACGACATGATTTGCCAGCCTTTATTGCCAATTATAGTGACATGACACAACACCACTGTTCTACAACAAGAGAGCTGGAACTGTGTTCTAAATTTGCAGAATTTTGGTGATCCAGAGTCCAGATAGGCTTTGCAGCGCAAATGAATATGCATCATCACATTGCGTGCTTCGAATATCCATGTGGCAGACTTCTTAGCCGCACATTCCTTCAGCAGTGACGGCTTCAGGCCGGTGTCGCTACTTGTGTCACTGGGAGTCATGCAAACTATGGAGGCGGTCTCATACGTCAAACCAACACAAGTAGAAACCAATCCAACCTGTTCCAGGCCGTTATATGCCGCTTGGACCATGCAGCAAAAGGGGTAATCAAGCAAACTCCTGGTCTGTGAAAGGTCATGGCAAGCTTGAATTCCAACGTGGATGCTAAATGGTGTTTCTGCCTAAGCTCGCTGTAAGATGTTTGGCACGACCTCCAGCTGATAATCCCACAAGATGGTGTGATTGCTCGGAAACTTTGAGCGACGGAGAAGATCTTAAAGCTTGACTGTGGCAAGCTGGAGCCAGATGGCGGTGGCACGTTCTCCCAGACACCGTTTTCTTCAAGAAAAATCGAGATGCACGCTGAGACGCTGCAAGCAAGGGCCAAGAGTTCTTGCCTCCAGATCGACGTGAAGCGTGAAAAACTTAAGGTCCCTC